TAGTAGTAGTAGTGGTAGCAGCAGTCCCAGTCCTCGTAGAAGCAGCAGTAATAATAGGATGTGCAGCTAGAGCAGGAACCGGAGCAGCAGCAGCTGCTGCGTTCGCGTGTTGTTGCAGTCGTGTTTGTGGCTTTGGCTATGGCCGTCGTCGTCATGTTACTGCATGCGGATGTGGGGAAGTGTCCACTCCACACGATTTCCAGAAAATCAAGCCCTTTTTTTCTCAAAGGCATGGCGTGGCTGCAGGCCTGCCCCCCACCCCCTTGATGCAAAGTGCAAACGTGCTGCTGTACAAAGATGCGGTTGCGAAACTTCTTTGCTTTCTGGGCTGGGTACCAGCCATTTGACCAAGAACTGATTTCATGGCAATTGCCGCACGGACCGTCCTGTGGAAAGGCCTGGTCCTGAGGATAGAGACTGGTAACCGTGTTGAAACCTAACCTTGAACGAGTTCGCCTGAACCGAAGTCCGCTCAAGGCTCGAAGCCTTCGGTCCCAATCGCGAACCTCTCCCGCCCATTGCTCTGGGTCTGGTCCTCTCGGTAGACATCGCGGCACCTTTCCCTTTGCCAACAAGAAGCAGGCTTCGTTGCCTGTTTGCGGGGTGCAGTGCAACCCCCACTGGCGATAATTGTCTTTGGTGCAAACACCTAGGTTGAGCAGGGATGGCCCTAGATAGGTTGCAGGGTCTGTACTAGTTCGCATCATCTCGACACAATGGCCATGGAGCCCTTTACTGGGTGGTACACGGCTTGCCACAAAGTCAGGGAAGAGCAACTGCAAAACTTTCGTCCACTATGCCAGCGGAACTGCAAGACAGCGGCACATGGGGATGACACTAGCTTATGCACCGTACGAGCCTGCCTTCAAAGGAAACCTCATCTCGCTAGAACAGAGCAAACCCTTGGAAGACTCGATGAGAAAAGAAGACCTCAAGAAGCCCACCTGTATCCTGTTGTAGTTGGAGATCGCAGCCGGCCGCCTGCACCGAGGATCCAAGATCCTCAGCATACGACAGATCTTTCGCTTATCAATGTCAAAAGCTGAAAACCTTCCTGCTCTCACAGCTCTGGAGTTTTCCATGCAGCACTTTGTCGGAACTGGGCCTAGAGCGCTTCATGCAGCTTGCCTGCAAAGGATCCTGGAGTGACTGAGCGCAAGTCCCATCGCATGGCATCTCAAGGCCGATGCACGGAATGGATCACCATCCCACCGAGTCCCAATGAGGAGTCTCAATGGCTCAAGGGCCGATTATCAGAGACTGGCACGGTTGAACGACCTTTATGGAATTTCTTTTGGATGGTTGGTTCAAGAGGCTTGGAGGTCGTTTCGGTTCAGACAAGTCGGATGGGCTGCTGCTTCCGACACTGCCATGGTGCCTTGTGTTGTTCGCCTGGCTAGTAACGGCTCATGGTTGTAGCTGCTTTTGCATGTACTGGGCCTGTAGCAGAAAGCCGTGCAGGTCACTCACATGTATCCATACTTCGATGAGCAGAACTTCTCGCTGTCGTTGTTTAGCCTGAGGCAGCTTCGGTTTCTGAATTAACAGAGCGGCTAGAATAATATGGTGCCTGCTGATTGTAGCAGCAGCAGGAGGAGGAAGCAGTAGGTAGTCGCAGTCGTAGTGGTGGTGGTGGTGCTGCTGCTGGTGGTGGTAGCAGTGAGAGTAGGCGTGGAGTAGTAGTAGTAGTAGTAGAAGAAGTAGTAGCAGTAGCAGTAGCAGTAGCAGTAGCAGTAGCAGTAGCAGTAGCAGTAGCATCAGCAGTAGCAGGGCAAACGGAAAGCACAATGGTCGTGGCAAAGGCCGCAACGACGCTGCTGCGAACAAGCGC